CCCGACCTGAGGAAGTCGGGCGCTCTGACAATCATGTGCTGGAAGTCCTCCAGGGAGAGCCGGCCGTCGTTGTCCAGGTCGGCCTCGTCGATGACCTTGTGGCACACCAGGGCCACCTCCTCCGGGCTCAGCTCTTTCCGGGTCAGCTTGTTCACCGTCTTCTCCAGGTCGGACTTGCAGACGTAGTTGTCGTCGTTAAAGTCTGTCGAAGGAGCCCCCCGCGAACGCTCAGGGATGGCCGGAGGTCAGGGCCCCCCCTCCTCCCTGCTGGGAAGGGCCCCTGCAACGCCCCCTAGGGGGCCTCTGCCTTCCCTCCCCCAAGCCCCCAGGAGCCCCTGGCGGAGGAAGGAGCCCTGGACCCCCGGCCTCCCCCTTCCGTCTTCCCCTCGCTTGGCCTCGGCCGAAGGAAAGGAGGGGGCGCCTCCAGCGGTGCTGCTAAGGAGGAAGGGACGGGGGCTGCCCTCCCCCCCTCACCGTAGATCTTGAAGGCGTAGTAGGCCTTGAGGTCCCGCGGGGCCATTTCGCTCATGACGGAGAACATGTCCAAGAAGTCATCCAAGGTCATGTTGCCTTCCCCGTCCTCGGAGAAGACCTCGGCTATGCGCTGGCGGAAGGGGTTGTCCTGCGGGCGGGGGGAGCAGAAGGCGTAGAAGCCCAAGAGAGGGACCCTGGAGGCCTTCTAGTCCAGCCCGCTCCCGAAGGCAGGAGGCCTTGTAGGACAAACGCTCTGTGGACTATCAGGTAACCCTCTGGCCCTGCTAGCAGCCTCTCCACCCGGGCGGGCCTTGAGTTTGACCCCCCCCCTGGTCTAAGGAGAGGCCGGCACCACTGGCACCCCAGCTGCCCCTCCCACTTGACCCAAACCGGGAGGGCACAGGGGCCGCATCCCTGCACCCGAAATCAGGAGATCCTGCGGCTGAATTTGGGTGGCAAATGGCTGGATTCTGGTTACAAGTTTCCATCACCCGCCCACCCCCCCGCTTCTTTTCACCTGCCCCCCCCCCTTTTTGCCCTTAAACCCCCACGAGGAGATATTTCTCTTGTACTGTGCTTGGGGGGTGGGCATCATTGGGGAGGGGAGCAACTGTAGCCCCTCTCTGGGGGGTGTTTTAGGGTGTCTCAAGGGTGGGGGCCAGTTGGCATTGCAGGCGGTCCCTCCCTCAAGGAAAAGAGGGCTAGGCATTCAGGAGGAAGCGGGAGGGGAAAGAGCTGGGGGGGGGAGGGCTCCTAAGGCTTTTGGGGGGGTTTCAGCCCCCCTGGACTCCCCTTGTTTACCCCCCATTTGCAGTCTCGGCTGACTAAGGGTTAGGGAAGGGCTGCCCTCCCCTCCTCACAGCCACACACACGGCCATTGCTCCGCTCTAAATCCTCCTGGGTGGCATCCGGGCACCGAGCCTGGCGGAGAAGCCCAAAGCCCACAGAAACCTCCTCCTCCCCCCACCCCACCCTGCCAGGCAGGACCAGCCCTGGATGTCCTGCCTCCCCCCCCCACCCTCCCTCCCTGTGCGTGTCCCCAGCATGCCCAGGCCCGTCCCGGCCGCCCTCCCTGCAGAGAAGGCCCCCAGCCCTGTACCTTGAGCTCCGGCATGCTGGCAATGAGCTCGTAGGGCAGCTTCACGCTGGGCTTCCGGCTGTAGTCGGTGGGCACTAACTGGGGCGCCAGGTCTCGGTACTTGTCGAAGAGCCTGGGAGGGAGGGAGGGAGGGAGCAGAGGGAAGGCGGGCCCAGGCCTGGCCTCCCGTGGGAGAGCTCCGGCCCCCTGCGTAGGGTGGGCTGGCCGGCCGGCTTCTTTCCTCCCCGCCCGCCTGCCTTGCGGGATTCCCCCTGGGAAGGGGACTTGGGGAGACTCCCGTCTCTCCCCGGTTTCCAGCCTGGACGGAGCTGGCAGCAGGTCTGCTCTCGAGCGGCGGCTGCTCCCCAAGCCGCCTGCCCCGTCCTGCGCCTTTCCTCGGGGCTCTGGAGGCCAGGAGGGAGCCTCCCCAACTGCCCCCGTTGCCTCTTGCCCTTCCCTCCAGTGCGTTGGGGGATAGGTCGGCCCCCTCCTCTCTGTGACCCCCCCCTTCAGATATCGGAAGGCGGCTCTCGGGTCACCCCTGGTCCTCCTAGTGCTGGTGAGACCCAAGACCCCAAATTCCCTCCATCGTCCGTCCTCCAGTGTAGCCCTGGAGACCTCCCCCCCTCCCCTTTCTCCCTCCAACTCAGAAGGTCTTGCGGGGGGGGGGGCTGGAGTCAAGCCCTGAGCCCAAAATCTCCCAACTGACTGAAACGTGTCAACCTGGAAGGACAAATTCAGCAGCCTCCGAATCGGCCACTTTTATTCCCAGCAGAAAAATGGTTCCGTTTGAAACTTTTTTGGCAGCTGAATTTGGGCTCTGCAACTTCCGTGCGTGAGGCCTGAGTGGGCCTCTCCCGTTGCCCCTTCGTGCCCCCAGAGGGGGAACATAAACGATGCGGGGGGGATACAAGGCTGCTCTCCCGCTGCGGTGCGAGTGGGGTCCCCAGCGCCCGCGACCCCTATGCGCGTGGGGGGGGCTCTGTGCAGGTTGGGGGACCCCTGGGACAGAGGGCAGATCCCCACTTCCGAGGCCCAAAGGCCGACCCTGTTGCCCTCCCTTCCTCCTCTTTCGGTTTCGACCTAAGCCTCCTGCTCCTTTCCACAGTTTATGGGCTGGGCCCCCCTTTTTTATTTGCTATCGGCCCCTCGAATGTGGGGCTTTGGGGGGCCGAACCGGGGAAGAAGGAACAACGGGGCATTTCCCAAACAGGCGGGTGGCAGGAGGGGAGGTGGCCAGCCCTGTCTTTGCGGGGGGGGGGGCGGACCCCCTTTTCGTTTGGAGAGACCCTCGGTCAGTGAAAGGGGGCAGAGCAGAAGGGAGCCCACGTTTCGAGCCGCCTCCCTCCCCCATCAATAATGCAGGTGCCGTTCTGGCCTTGGCTCCCATCCCGGAGATGAAAAGGGACTCCTGCTGCTTGGGGTTCAGGAAGGGCGGGGGTTCCCCCAGCTGCGCCCCTCGGACACGGCGAGAGTCGCTCCATCCCTCGGAGGAAGGCGCTGCTGCCTCGGAGGCCCTGGAAGAACCGGGACCCCTGGAAGGGCCTCTGCGGCCAGCGGGGGGTCGCTTGGCTAGCCTGGGTTCAAACACGATGCCCTAAAATCGCACCGGTAACCCTCCGCCTTCCTTTGGAGGGAAGGATGCCCACCTGGAAGGGGCTGCCTAGCCCTTGTTCACCTGTTGCCTGGAGCTCTGTGCGGCTGCAGCCCATGGAGCAGGTGCCAGGCCTTGGCCGCCTGCGCTCCCCAGCGAGACTCGCGACCTGCCCTCCCTCCGGCCGCCTCTTCCACCCCAACCCTCCCCAGAAAAGCTTCTCCCGAATTTCCCCTTTGGCTCTGGGCATTGGCAGGTCTCACCTCAGGATTTCTTTCCTTGTGAAAAACGTGACATCCTGAAAGAGGAAAGCAACACAAAAAAAGAGCCGGGTGAGAGCCAGCGAGCTCAGGATTCCTCCCTGCTGGGCCAGTTTGCATCCTCCATTGGGAACCTTTGGCTGTTAGACAGAATTCCTCCCCCCCCCAAATTCCCCTGCACGAAGCCCCCCTGGAGGAGAAGCTCCCTTGGCCAGGAGCAGCCACCTTCCCTCCTCGCTTCCCCAAGAAACACAGCAGCGAGAGGGAGAGAGAGAGGGAGAGAGAGGAGGGGGGGAGGGCCGGGGTACCTGATAGGCGTCCAGCTGCTCCGGAGTGAAGATGGTCTGCTTGTTACCCATCTCTGTGCCCCCCGCCGTGAGCCATGGCTTCCTCGGTGGCCCCCGTGGCTTCCCAGAGAGGGAGATCAGGCCGAGCAGCTCCAGGGAGGATCAGGTGTCTGCCGGCTCTGCTCCACGGATCTCTGGATCATAATAGGGGCATTTCATCAAATCTTCCGAGCGGAGGTGGCACGTGGCGAGCGCCCGGCACCCCCTGCTTCTGCCGCGCTCCAGACAGGCTCCAATTACCTCATGGGCACCCAGCTGCATCGGCCGGCTTTTGGGAAACCGTCTGGCTGCCCGATGGGCGCAGGGCTGTGGGGGGGCATCCTGCCTCCCACAAGCACCGGCCAGCGCCAGTCGCTTCCTGTGTGGACGCGAGTTGCTTGGGGGTGAAGGTTTGCCCTAAGCCTCCCGGGAAACCCTCTCCTCCCACCCCTCGATTGGTTGCCCTCAAGGCCCAGCTGCCTTTTGTACAGGATCAATCCTGCCATGGCCCTTGTGCCACCTACTCCAAGTGGCCCCCCGGACCATCGGCGCTTCCCTCGGAGGCCCTGCACAGACTGCCACGCGATGCCCATCAATCCAGGGCACCCCACAGGGAGGGTGGAAGTCAAAGGATCCCTCCAGGGCCAGGAACCGACCCTCCTTGTCCCTGGCCTGCTGCGGCATCCGGCTGGCACTCAAGAGGACCTGGCCGAGGAGAAGAGCCTGGCACGGGGAGAGAGTGGCCACATTCTCACCAGACACGGCCCAATTTTTACCCTGGAGGAGCCAGGCCCACCCTAGGCCTTTGGCCAAAGCCTCAACCGGGAGAGAGGAGGGGCGGGGAAAGGGGGCAGAGAGGGGGGTGGGGGAAGGGCAGCCCTCGGCTCCAGGTGATCAGAGTTTCCCCGTTTTTGCATTTTCCACCTTTTCTTTTTTAATTTGAGCTCACCTAGTAGACACCTTTGCCTTGTTGGGGGGCACGACGTTACATTTCTTATATACACTGCAAAAATAACCCTGAAAAACCTTTCAAAGAAGTAACTTTCTTGGGCTGTATCGATTTCAGTCCAAAGACACCTATGAACGGGAGGGGGCCTTATCTTAAGGAAAGACGACTCCAGAATAAATACTATGATTTTTCAAGTCAACACGGCCACTAAAAAGTCATTTGGGATTCATTCTAGAGAGAGAATCATAAGCCTTTAAAACCACGGAGTGAATTGGAGGGGCCGACCAAAGCGCCACGGTTGCCGCCTGTCGAAAGGACTCTAGCTGCTACCAAGGACCCTTCGGGTTAGAGGCGAAGAAGCAGAAGTCCAAGGCCACCGTTTTGAAGCATTTTCCTTTCCGAGCAAGGAAAGTTTTCATGGTAGGAGAGCTTGGCAAACTGCATTTCGGTGAAAAAGACTCAATTTTATCTGGCAATTCCTGTTCCCTTAGGCCGAGGTACAGAGGGCGGGTAGAATAAGGTGTAAAGAGGAGGAAAACAGCCTTCCGAACTGGGAGTTGTATTACCAAGCTGCAAATTTAATGTGGGTTAAAGAATGGATAACATTAAGAAAGACTAGATTGTTGACATTAGAAGGATGTGATTTATTACTGGGATGGCATGCTTTTCTGTGGTATATAGGGCTATTTTAGAAGGCATTATATAAGGGAGTCTTTATGGTTGAATTGGGAGAAAATTAAGAGACAATGTTATTTGGAAATCCCAGTTATCAACTATCGAAGCTTTTTCTTATCCTATAATATATAAGAAGGAACCAACAGTTAGATATGGGGAAATATTGGATGAAAAGAGTGAACTTAAAACAATGCAAAAACTAGAAGAACAAGGCATAAGGATGAATTGGTTTTCATATGCACAAATACATTCAAGGTATCTTATAGATTCTAAAACGGAGGGATTTTATGATAAATTGACTGATTTAGATAGGATTTTGACAGGTACTGATGAAAAAGTGATTAAAAAATTGTTGGAAATTATATTAGAGGAGGAACAAGTTAAAGAAACGATGATTGTTTGGGGGAAGAATTTTGGATATGGGATTGATTTGGAGAAATGGGAAAAATTGTGGTCTCAAAATTATAAAATGACAATGTCAACAGCATATAAAGAAAACTTGTATAAGATGTTTTACAGGTGGCATTTTCCCCGACAAGAATAGCAAGAATGTTCAAGAATAAATCTGAAAAGTGCTGGAAATGTCATCAGATACCTGGCTCATACTACCATATGTGGTGGACTTGTGAGGACGCTAGAAAATATTGGACTAGAATTCGCATATGGTTGGAAAAAATGATAAAGACACAAATAGACTTGAAACCAGAGATTTTTTTATTGGGAATCTTACCCGATACATATAATAAAAATTTGAAGTATTTGATTGTAAATGTATTAACAGCGGCTAGGATTGTATTTGCTAAAAACAGGAAGAGAGAGAAAATTCCATCAGAGGAAGAAATAATCAAGAAAATATTGGATTGTGCTGAAATGAGTAGATTGACATTTGAAATCAGAGAACAAGAGGATAAACAATTTTATGAAGTTTGGGATCTTTTTTTATCAATGGTTAGATAATAAAACACAATAATAGAATATTTAGATTTAGGATATAATTTTTTTTTATATTATTTTTATAAAACTTTACTAAGGTAGATTTGGTATGAACTTATGATTCGTTGCAAAATAAATTAAGTAAATTATAGTTATCTCGTTAAAGTATGAATTAATAAAATTATAGTTAAATGATTTCTCAGTAATGATACTAGGTTATACAATTGTATGAGTTATTATGTAATATAACTATATTAGCGTTTAGGAAACGGATGCACAAAAAAAAGTGGTAAACCAACCGATGCACTGTTTGTAAACTTACGAAGAAGGATGATGTTTTTATGTTTTATGTCGTATGTCCTATGTGGTTTTGTTTGTTGTTAAAATAAAAAACTTTTTTTTAAAAAAAGAAAAAAAACACCTTTTCAATGGCATTTGTTGAAAGCGGATTTTTTCTCTCTCGTGCCTGTTCTGCAGCAGCCTGGAATTGGAAAACAGGGCCTTCCTGTGGTCCAAGAAGGAATAGCAGCCCTTTTAATGGTTTTTTAGGCTACTATCCTGTATCTTAAGTATGAACACCTTATTAATATCAATAGGACAACATGAGGCCAGAGGTGGAGGCGATATGCAACTTGAGTCTTTGCAGAGTCTGGCTTGCAATCCGCTGCTCCCCATTTCTCCCAGTCACATTATGCAAAGAGGCAGCTACTAATCTCCAGCTTTGCTCCGCTTCTCCAATGGTTCGGCACCACCCTGTTCTATGTGCCGGCTGTTCGGACTTGCTGGGCCTGACACATAGAACAGGGCGGCGCCGGATGTTGGAGAAGCAGAGCGGAGCCGGAGATCATTAGCCGCCTCTTTCGCAGCACAAGCCTCCCCCAACTGGCCAGCTGCTCTCCTCCTCCTAGGAACCCTAACCCTAACCCTAACCCTAACCCTGTTTGTTCTGTATGGCCGAGTAGGAGGAGACCAGCCAGCTGGTTGGGGGAAGCTTTCTGCGCCGAAAGAGGCAGCTACTAATCTCCGGCTTTGCTCCGCTTCTCCAATGGTCCGGCACCATCCTGTTCTATGAGCCGGCTGCTCGGACTTCCTGGACCTGACACATAGAACAGAGCATGCTGCAGGCATCTCGCGACAAGCCCCAGGACATGTGGTCACCTGCTGGCTGGCCAGACCAGGCCGGGCTGGAAGAGGCACGTTCTCCAGGAGAAGGAAGAAAGCGTGCTCCGGGAGGGCGGGTGCCGGGCAGGTGGGCGGATGTTCCAGGACCACTTACAGGTCAACTTTAAGAGTGCCCCCATGGAAGAAGCCAAGCAAACGTAGTGGCGGCAGGGGTGACGGGGCATGTGTGTCCCTCCACAAGGAGTATGAAGGGAGGCAGACACTGCACCTCTCAGGAAAAAAGTAGGTGCCAAAGCCCTGGCTGTCACCTGGGAGGGGACCGTGGAGGGACCCATCACATCCCCTTGTTGCCCCCGCTGCCTCTACTTTTGTTCTCGTTCTTGGCTTCTTCCATGGGGGCGCTCTTAAAGTCAATCTTTAAGAGCTGGAAGACGTTTTGTTAAATCGCCACCAACTCATCGCTGGGAGGGGTGTAGCCCGAGAAGTTTTAGATTCATCCAAGGATGATGCCATTATAAAGAGGAAAAAATTTTCCCAAAACAACCACCCGAGTGTTTTTAAACAAAGAAAAAAGATTTCCCAAAAGATCCAAAGTCACCAAACAATCCAGATAGACTATTTCTTTTAGCACTTTTTCCCTTCTTCCATTTCTTTTTCTGGGGTTGCTATTAAATCACAAAGTTCCAATTAAAATATGTCTTTTTGAAGTCTTATTAATGTTCAAATGGCTCTTTAAAATTCTAGGCAGTCTGCTCCTTATTTTCAACTTCTACTTGAATTTTTTTCCTCTCCCTTCCCACTCACAGCAAAAGAAAAAAAATTTTCTTTAAATATTTAGAAATCCATATCCCTTTGGCATTAGCATAGTCTTTAGCATTTAGCATACCTTCAATGCGGGTTTTCCGATTTCTCTCAAAGCTGTTCCGTTTGGAAGGAGAGTGAACATACATACATACATACAGGCAAGCAGGCAGATAAGACAGAATGGATGGAGAGAGAAAGAGTTTATATATATATATATATTAAACTCTTTCTCTCTCCATGCATTCTGCCTTATCTGCCTGCCTGTCGACCTCTAATCCATTTGTTTGTTTGTCTATCTATA